TGTCGGTTCGACCCTCACTCTCTGCTTTGGTCTCTTGAGCGGCCACATCTAACTCATGCTCGGTAAACAGTCGGTAAAGCTGCTGTTGCCTACGCCTAGCTGCGAGTCTCCGCACGTTCAGCGTAGCAATACGTAATGAACCTTCAAGAGACACTACCATTGAGCAAGTTTCAAACCTCGAGCATAGCGCTCACCAATGTATGTAAGTACCTGAAAGTGAGCTGCCGCAGCCCCAAACAGTCACTGCTCGTCGTCTCAGGGTAGAGCCGACGATCCGCCACGGTCACCTCTAGGCTCTTCGGCCTCCCCTCTTTCTCGCCGCCTATTGCAGCTCCAACTCTGAACGAGGGCCAGCCGTGTCGGTCGTCACTGTCGTCTCGTTGAACGGTCGCTTGGCAGCCTTGGCCTCGAAGTCTATTTCTCCAGCGTCTTCACCCTCGGAGGCATTTGTCGTGTCGCTCGCGACCGGTGCCTCCTGCGCTGTCACCTTCACTTCGCTCGCAGGTTCGCCGCTAAGTCCATTTCCCGGTGCCGTAGGGGTGGTCAACGCCTGATTTTGCGCGACACACGGCGCCGTGCTGGCCTCCGCTCCCTGAAACTCTGTGAGGGAGCTATCGTCGTGGATGACGTTGCCTCCTCCGCCTTTTCCATGGCGTGGCTCATACCCGTGTCATCAGCGGTAGGGCTGGCGACGGTTCGGGCATACCACCGCACGCGGTCCCTTGCATCGTGCCCGAAGGCTCGACATTCCTCGCACCTAGGCACCCTGCACTCACGCCGTATGGGTCGCGAGCGACGACAGCGAGGGCACACCGGCGCGCGCCCGGGAACGACCACAAGTACTGTGCCTCCTAGGAACCGGAGCTGGTGAGGAAGGGACTCCGGCCTCATGCCATCCCGAAGCAACAGGCGCGCGACGACTGTCGTGGTATCCATGTCCGACAGGCCCCCGACCTTTCACCTTTCGCGGGTGACTCCCTTAACTTCTCCGTATAGGATTCGAAGGCTCGACGGATAGTTTCCACGGGCACGTCAAACGCCACCCAGTGGACTTTGACCTTTAATTCCCATTTGTTAGGGTCGATGACCAGACACAAGCGGTCCTTCACTTGCAGGTGCACTGTCGTCGCCAGGAGCTTCTCCTTGGCTGCAGTAGTATGCAGCTTAGGAGCCACACGTGTCCGAATGGAAAGGCGCCCACGCCCCTCTTCCCGCGGACCTGGTTCCAGCGGCCGATAAAAACCTTCTCTTCGATACGGACGTCCCCGGGTGTCAGCGTGCAGCACAAGGCTGCGGTTCATAGCTTCGCCGGAGGCAGTCGAGGGCAAAATAACCGCGTAGTCACCCCAGTTCACCCGGCAAACCGCGGAAGCCAGCATTACCACGGCTAGAAACCGCCGTTATCGTAGTCGCTGAAGAGCACTCCATTGGACGTCCGTTCGCTATCGCGTCCGGCGGTGGACCCTGCAAGCGCAGACACGCTTGCAGGGCCGAGGAACGAACGAGATTTAGATTTAGCCTATCGTGTTCCACTCTTAAAAAGACACTGACCCCCCCCCCCCCCCCCCCCCCCCCCATTTTTCAAATTTTTTGCTAGGTGAATTTTTATGCTGTTAGAAGAGTACCCAATCAATATTTTGCTACAGTGTCACGTACACACCAACTCATCTTTACAAACAAACCGGAGCGCCCCTAGCGGACGCCACCGACGCCGCGCATGCGTGTAAACGGTGGGCAAGAAGCCTACCGTCGCCTATAAACAAACCATTGAATTGCGTTGTTGTCGGCGTCGGTGGGAGTCCCCGTGCTCTTTTTCGCGTTGGTTCTACGCTTCCTAACAATATCTGACTACTTGAGCGGCTTCAGCAAAATTAACGAGGCAAAACTGCGTGAATAATGTGACTTGCGGCGATTCATTTCACGTGGACGCCGCAGAATGGGCGCTAAAGACTGACTCCCACGATGAGATTCTGCTCGCTATTTTCAGTCGCGACGTCGCTCGGGCTGGAAAAGCGTGGACCGAAGCTGAGATGGTGGACGTCGATACTGAAAGCCGCAAGTAGAATCGGGCATTACAAGTCGGTGATGGCCACTGGTAACAATAATCAACATCTTGTACCTCTTGTTTACATTTTGCCTACTTACCCCAACCAACCTTCAAACGTGTTTTGAGGCCTGCAGTTAGTTCTTATCGCAATTACCGGGTCAACTTTTGATTTACGGGCCGCTGTCGTTTGAACGAGCTGACGACAAAAAGCAGACAATTTTGAGAGAGCAGACGACAGTTCGAACGCATGCGCAATGGAATGCGGGCAAGAAGCATCGCGTCCCGCGTCAACAAACGATTGAATTGTCACGTTGTCGGCGTCTGTGTGAGTCTGCATACTCTTTTTCGCGTTGGAATTGTCGATTCTACGTCCTCATGGCGGTGTCTTACTACTTTAATCGCCTGAGCGAAATTATCAAGGCTCATTACGCCGCTAAACTCTGCGTAAATAATTTGACGTGCGGCGATTCATTCGCGTGAACGCCGCAGAATGGACGCCGAAATCATGATGAGATTCTTGTAGCTATTTTCGGCCGCGACGTCGCTCGTGCTGCAAAAGTGTAGAAGGTAGCGGCGATGATCGACGTCGATACTGAAAATCGGAGGCGGGAACAGACCAAGCGTAACAAGGTGGTGACGGCCACTGGTACCAACGATCACCATCTTGTATCTACTGTTTACACCGAGCCTACTTAAGTCTTTTGAGGCCTGCAATCACTTTTTAATGCAATCAACGGATCAAAGTTTGGCCTATGGGCCGCTTTTGTTTGAACGAGCACACGAAAGTTCGAACGATCAGGCGGCCGTGTGAATTTAAAAACGCACTGAAACCCGTGAATTGATGGTCCGCACAACTTCACCCGTTTTCTCTCGTTCATGTTGGAACAAAACAAATACATCTGGCGACCACAAAGTGTTGCCCGCACAAGCAATCGTAGTTCGACAGCATCTGGTTTGCCCTTTTCACGGCTACTATTCACGTTCTCGGACGAACGGAGAGGGCAGAAATACATGGAAACTGATCTTCAAACCTTTCCAGACTCTCTTGGTACAGCCCCCGTCGCAGCATTTTGACGAGAAGGCAGGTTTTCTGTCTGGTCTTTTCCAAAAGATCACAAGAATGCATGTCTCGCACGGCGACTTCTGCCCACCGTCCAAGACCGGAAGTGCGCCCGACGCGCCACCACCGCGGCGTGACGTAGGAGAGTTGTAATAAAGTAAAAAAAATACAGCTGTTTGAAACCGAAATTGAACCTAGACTGGGGAGGAAGTAGAAATATAACGGAGGAGAAAAATGCCAAAATTCACGTCACTGTGCAATTTTTCTTTCAGTCATTGTATTTGCAGCTTTTTAAAAAGCCCCGAAAAATAAATATCATATTTTTTGTCCATTTTTAGTATTAAGAGTGTATGCCTTCGATGACCCACGACTTTGATTTTCTTTGGTGGTCTTGTCTAAACCATAAACAAAAAAAAAAAAAAAAAAAAAAAAAAAAAAAACGGCACGTGACCACGGAGAAGAGGGTGAGCGCGACTCAAACCGGCCAGTTCTCGATCAGCGGTTTTCGGGCGGACAGAAAACGAATTTCAAGCCGGCAATTGTGTTCTGGGTAGCTGAGCTCTCATATGTTATGAACAAATAAAAACCTTGGCGAGCGTAATGCTCTTTCAGTGTCCCTTTAAAGGCGAAGCTTAAGCGTCCTTCTGCAATTTCTTGAATAATGGCGTCACGTCCACGCTCCTCTCTCTTCTTTCCCTCCGCCATCAACTACCGCCACCCCTTCACTTCCCAAACACTTGCAAGGCCACTGCCCTTAGCTTTTCGGGCCTTAAAGTCCCTGCAGTAGAGCCAACTTGATAAACTACCACTTTGTCGATTCGGGTCCATGGATGTGTGTTTGATCACTTCTACAGAAAATACAAAAAAAATGGTGAACTCTCATAACGCCAAAATATGGGTGGCATCATTGGAAATAATAAAAAAAAGTAGAAATAAAGGAAGAAAACGGCATTTTTAATAAAAGCTCGACATATGGCTAATTTTAATTTTTCATTACATTTTAAAAATATAATAAAAACTTCCCGAAAACAAATTAAGCTAAAGTGGTACCACTGGACAGCCCACGTAGAGGCCTGCACTTATTTAGCAATATTTGTGATGAATATACAAATATGAATGAATTTGTGAAGATACAAGGCTCCAAACATCATCCAAACGCCAAAACTGCCATTTTTAGCATTTTTTTTTTAAATTTCTGACATGAATTATACCAAAAAAAGTTTTATTTAATTTTGAAAAATAAACCGCGCATTATACAGTTCTGTAAAAAAATATTTAGCTTTTTTTGTTTTCAATTATTTATAAAAACCGACAAAACGAGGTACAACAATCAAGCAGCCGAAGTGTAGCATTTCATCTTGCTCCACTTTATAACTTTCGTGAAAGGAAATAAAAGAAAAATATGAACTTTTTTTTTATTCCTGACGTGAGGCTACTACATACATTTTTTTAGACAAATAAAAATACCGGCCCCTACATGCATGTTCGATTTCAAAAGAGAAACCACCCTGCAGTGTTGGCGCACAAACTCCCAAATGGCACTGGTTACTCTGAAAAAGTTCAAATATTGCATTTGGAGCTGGTGCAGTTTGTTCAAAAAGCGTCTGGTCACCCGTTCCTATGCTGTGTGCCTTGATGTATCGGCGTCCTATTTACGGAGGAAATGTGGTCGGGCCTCCTGGGGATCGAGCGATTTTGAGGCAAGCAAAGGAAATCCTGTTTCGAAGATAGTCTCGAAGCACTATTAATAACAACATTGCCGCGACGTCGTTCGGGTGAGGTTGGCATGTTCGTGTTCTACCACTCATGTTGTAGGAGTTTTGTATATTACACTGAAACGAGTGCTGTTGTGTCCTTGATGAATGAATACTAATATTTTATTTATAAGGAGAGATGCCACTCCGAGAGCTGGAATACCTATTTATCGTTGTTGTGGCAGTCGCCATGATGCTCACAGTAGCTCGAAAAACCACTTCAAGATTCAAAACCACGTGTCCAGTCCTGTACCACTGCAGCTGCTACATCTACCGAAACAAGGCCGTCGTCAAGTGCCCGGGGGGCAGAAAGCAGAGTATGAACGCAGACCAGTTGACCAGCGATCTCGCCAGGTTTGCTTCGACCGAAATGGACGAAGTCACCGTCGACCACTTCCGCTTCACCACCCTGCCGGCCAACTTAGCAAGAAACCTAACGATGACGTCACTAATAATAACCAACGGCCCTCTGGACGCTATGGATGACGAGTGCTTCGAGGGAGTCCTCGCGATGGACAAGCTCATCGTGGAGCGGACCAAGCTAAAAATGGTTCCAGGAGCGGTCTTGAGACTCGGGTCCAAGCTAAGGGAGCTAAGGTTGGCAAATAACAGCATAGAGAGCGTCGGTGACGTACTTCGTACCCTTGTGAACCTAGAGAAACTCGACCTGGATAGTAACGCCATTGAAAGTCTGGACGAGTCACTGTTCAACAATCTTGGTCTGCTCAAGGAACTGCGGCTCGGGAACAACAAGCTCCATCGCCTGCCCATCGAGTCCCTGAAAATTCCGCCGTTGGAGATAGTGGAACTGCACAACAATGCTTTGACGGAGGAAACTGCGAACGCCTTTGGGAGTTTCCACCGCTTGAAGGTAGGATAAAGTAGCTTGTGACTAATAGTTACCTCGGCTCTCCTTTCCGTTTAGCTTTCATTATATTAGTATGTACGTCAGCGCACGATCGCCTACCCTAGGGAGCCTTCATGTGCGCTTTGAAGCGCACATGAAGGCACCCTAGTCTACCCCTCTATTTGTATAGCACAGGGGTGGCCAGGCTGACCCGGCCCAAGAGCGGTTTTGGGCTCACCTTTACTTTGGAGAAGCCTAACAAAGTGGCGTTGCGATTCTTAGACCTTTTCCTCTCATTGCACGCCGATCACTTGTGCTGTGCATTCTCACCACGTTCCAAAAAAGGTATTGTTCACTACACATCCTCGCACTCCAAGGTGGTGAAGAGAGGCATTGCTATCCTTGCCTCACCTCAGCCCTAAAAAATTCATGTTTCCATGCCATTCATCGGAGTTTCTTGGGCCGGATCGATAGACTAAAATCTTCAGGGTTCCCGAATCAGGTCTTAGTCGAAGTGATAGGAACGCTGGTAAAGAATGTAAAAGGGGGTGAAAAACTAGGCGCCCCGTTGAAAAAAACCGGGTGGTGGTTATGCCATACCTACACAAAATATCGCATAACCTAAAACAAGTGGCCAGCAGGTATGGTGTGCCCGTAGTACTATCAGCCCCTAAGAAAATGTGACAAATTTGTTCTAAGGTTCGTGAAAAGGCGGAAAAATTATCAAAAAACACGTGCCACAATAAACATGTGCGGCCATTTGATCCCTGTTGATCGGGCGTTGTATATAGCGTTCCTCTTTCATGTGGAAGATGCTATGTTGGACAGACGGGACGGTGTCTGAATGACCGGCTACGAGAGCATAAACTTTCTTTGACATCCAATGTAGGAGGTCACCTTTCGGTGCACTGTAAAACATGTATGTGCACACCATCTTTAGCAAAAAACATTAATCATTGGCCGCTTTAGAGAAAAACAAACGCGCGAGGTGCTCGAGTCGTTCACCATCTTGAGCTTGACCGATCGCTGCGTTAGCCAGCCGTCGGTAGCTTTGAGCGAAAAAATGAAAGCCGTTTACAATTCCCTGTAACGCCGGTTAGAGCGCAGCTCTTGAGGAGGAAGACGGAAGCGTACTGAGGGATAGGTGACTCTTTGAGGTCACGTGACCTCAAGGGGGTCACGTGACTTCAGGAGGTCACATGACCTCAGGGGGTCACATGACCTTAGGGGGTCACGTGACCTTAGGGGGTCACGTGACCTCAAGGGGGTCACGTGACTTCTGGAGGTCACGTGACCTCAGCGGGTCACGTGACCTCGGGGGTTCACGTCACAGAGGTGTCACGTGACCTGGGTGGGTCACGTGACCCCCTTAGGTCACGTGATCCCCTGAGGTCACGTAACCCCCGGAAGTCACGTGACTTCAGGGGTCACGTGACCTCAGGGGGTCACGTGACCTAGGGGGTCACGTGACCTCGGGGGTTACGTGACCTAGGGGTGTCACGTGACCTGGGTGGGTCACGTGACCTCGGGCGGGTCACGTGACCTCGCGGTTACGCCGACGGCGACGGCGACGCCGACGCCGCTCAAGCCGGAAACGGGCCCCTAAGAGCTGCGCTCTAAAAGAAGTTGCCTTCCTGCGATCATTTGACTGCGGATGATCTGTTTCCCCCTGGTGATCAATTGACTGCGGATGGTCTGTTTCCCCCTGGTGACGTTGTCCCCTGAAAAAAAATAGTGCTTCATCTTTCTCTTTTTCACCTAATATACTAGAGTTGTGAGTGTGCGCCTGTCTGTGTTCTGTGTTCCTTCCTCGTTTGTCCTCGTCTCTTTGTGCGCGATTTTAACCATGTTCAACGTTTACCAACTCGCTCAACTTACAACTCTTCTACAGAAATGTTTAAGGTTTTTAATGGTGCGCGGTGGGAGAATATTTAGAGGAACGATATACAATGTGTTTCTTCATATTATCTTCTCATTTTAAGCTGTATATGTGTTTTTGTTGATTATATCATTAATGTAAAATCTTATTCTAGATTGTTTCTTTTGCAATCAGTGCGATTATGGTACTTCCCAATTAAGTTTAGGAAACACTGAAATAAAAAAAAATTAGAAGCTCAGATAAGACCCGCATTAAACAAGCAAAAAATTTTATCATAAAAAACAAAGTGGGTGCAATATTTACGCCGTTTGACGCAATTTAGGTGGAGGAGATAGAGGTCGCAGCCCGTTATGTACCGCCTCCTTACACCGTGCTTACACCTCTCACTCGCCGAAAAAGATGACTGGCGAGTAAAACTCTTGGCTGTAAATTTGTTTCTTTGTGCCGTAATAGTATTTCAATCGAAAATATGTGTATCTGTGAGAAACAAATAATCTAGATGGAGTGAGAATTGTTTCCAAAATATTCCGAGATTGCCCTTCCCTCTTTGGTTTGAAACATGGAGGTAGGAAGCTTCTGGAGGCGACCGAACGCCGCCAGAAGTGCAGCATAAGGAGACTTTCGGTTTGGAGGGACACGACCCCAGCGAAAGCCGAAAACGAACAAAGCCAAAAGACGCCATTAGACGGAAAGGACACCCTTGGGCACCCTTGGGGTCGTCCCCATCGACCACGACCTCTTCTGCCGCCTCCACTCGGGACTTTCTCGTTTGGCTGACTTGGGCCGGTGTGTGTCGCGTCCTTTTCTTCCTACCTCCATGCTTTGAAACGATCACAAACATGGCTGCCGGCGTCTGCCACGCGCTCACCAAGCCTAGCTCGTAGAGCTCGTCTATTTTTATGACTGCGAGTCGTTCTGCGTTCACAGAGGTGCATGCTTACAGGAAGGTCTCCTGAACCTATGTACTATGCTGCAAACAACTGGCTCAAGTACGCGCCTTCAAAAGTGCTGTGCGAGGATTAGTTTTCGTAACGGGACTGGCCTAAGCCTAGCATCCCGCGTCAACAGTTTTGCTTGATCTGGCTTGATTTATTCGTTTGCGCGTGTTTATGCTAAATACAAAATGTTGGTTTCCGTAAAAGCGATTCCGCTGCTCTGTGAAATTGTGCGACCGTCGCGATTGCGACCATGGTTTCGATGCCGAGAAGATAAATAGACAGGTAAGAATTTGTGGGCTATTTGGGTGGAGGCAATTAGGCGTTCGCCTCGCATCCAGTTTGTCCAGGTATGTTCCGGTCATTTCGCTTCGAAACTCAAGTAGCTCTCAAGTTTTGCAGCGCACGTGTCCTGCGAAAGCGAATATTTTTAGACCGTGTTAAAATTGCGCACAAATAGAAAGGAACACTGGAGAGAGAAGAGAGAAGAGACAAGCGCAAACTCACAACTCGATGTATTGAAGGAAAAAAAAAAAGAACAGCCCGGTGTGTTTCGTAAATTTGGTACAGCCAGAAAATTATACCATAGATCCGTCGGTAACATCGCGATATGTTCTTAATGAATCTATGTTCTTGTTTTCTACTACAGTAAGTGAAGTGATTAGCACGTTCCTAAATCTTAAAAATAGCCGATCCCAGGACATAAATGGATTGCAAATTAAACCCATCAAAAATGTCATTGATATAATTGCTCCTCCTCTCACGTACATTTTTAACCTAGTTTTAACGACCAGTGTTTTTCCAAAAGAAATGCAAAAGGCAAAAGTATTTGTGCTGCACAAAGGTGGTGACAACAACAACCTCACTAATTATAGACCAATATCAATTTTACCGGTACTGTCTAAGGGTCTTCAGAAAATAATTCATTCAAGACTAATTAACTTTCTTAACAAACAGATTATTCTAAGTCACAGTTTGGTTTTCGTAAATAGAGATCAACAGAAACCGCACTGTTAACAGAAAAAGAACAAATTGTTGAAGCATTTGAGACAAAAAAACTCGTACTTGGTATATTTATTGACCTGACTAAAACGTTTGACAACATAAACCATAATATACTGAACATTAAACTTCACGCGTATGGTATTAGAGGAAGCGCAGCATTATTAATTCAATCTTATTTGCAGCATCGCTCTCAGTGCGTCTGTATAAACTCTTCTTTTTCTCCACTTAATATTATTACAACAGGTGTGCCCCAGGGCAGTATATTAGGCCCTCTTCTCTTCATACTTTACATTAATGACGTTTTTAACATAATGACATCAGCAAAAATAATAGCCTATGCCGATGATATGACTTTTCGTAGTACTGGTACTGACCCGACTGACGTGGTTTCAGAAACAAATAGCTCTTTTAGAAATTTGCAAAGATACATGGACGCAAATTGTCTGCAAATAAACCCTAATAAAACTAAAGCGATTTTCTTTAGACTCAGAAATAAATTAATTTGAAGGCCAACATATCTTCATCTAGACAACCAGAAAATAGAAGTTGTAAGTAAAATAAAATCTTTGGGCGTTCATTTTACCGAGCATCTCACGTGGGACATTCATATAAATCACACCCGTACAAAGATAAACAGAATAAATGGGCGGATAAATAAACATAGATACAGCCTACCATGCAATATTAAGAAAATGTTATACAATGCTCTTGTTGTTCCTAATCTAACATATTGTCATCTCATATGGGGTACAACTACGAAGCAACCTACTTAACCTCATTCGTGCAAAGAAAAAAAATCAATTAAAATAATAGCAAATCTCGCATGGAATGAGGGCACCGCTAATTATTTTCAACAGTAAACATTCTAAATATATCTTTCCTTTATAAACTCAGACTCACATGCCTTTACAGATCTGCCCAACTCGCAAACAACACCTTTACAATTGAATTTTTTAATCTAAACAAGCATCTCACAAGTCATAATACACGACATGCAGAACCATGGTTTGTGCCGACATTTCGTACATCATATGGACTTCAATCGACAAGCTACAATCTACCTCACTTACTAAACGAATTGATTCAATATCACGTCATACCTGAAGCTAGTCCCACATAACGTCCGTGTTTCTGTCTTTCGCTAGCTCTGACTAACAAATTTTAACCCACACGTTTTTTGGTTGACCACTGCTTAACTTTTATTGTATGTGTGT